ATGCATGGTGCACAACTGTACATTTTCTTTGATTTTGTGAGTTTTCAGAATCTATGTAACTTTAATCAGAAGGTTTTAAGTTTTTAATACAGCGATCACAAGGCAGACTGAAATGGCCTTTAGGTTTTTTAATGCTCCACATTGTGACTTTATGTGATTTTCCCATGTTTTGATGCCAGAATGTCAGCCACAAACCATTATTAAAGACAAATTAAACAAGGCCTTTATTTAATTTCTGAATTGTGTTTAAACTGTATGGTTGCTTATGCTTTTGGTCCTACAAACTGTGTGTTGAAAGATAAAACAACAAACACTAAATCTTAAATAATTGACTGATTTATAGAAGACATATAGGTAGTAGACATATGGGCTTAACCTGACCTTGTCCTCTTTGACCCTGCCAGAAATTTCACTTCCAAATACATGTCAAATAAACCATCGCATGCTAGCATGGATTTGCATACAGTACGTATATCTTTAAAGCCTCACACAAAGTGACCACAGGACTAGAGTGGTGGGGACGCAACACATTAAATAACTGGAATTTTGTTGTTATTGGACAGAATATGATAAAAGCAAAAAAAAAAAAACTTTGATTCTGTATCCTAACTCTTGCAACTCTCATCTACTTTTGCAGCCATGGAGCGTAAAACGGTCTTCTTTACAGGTAAAACTAAAGAGTGATTAATTAAAAATCTTTATTGTTCATAAAAAAAGCCTAAACTACTTTCTATTTTAAGCCAACAAAAAGCTGCTGTCAAAGAAAAAACAAATGGCATTCATATTAAACTGTTTAATCTGTTAATTACAATGTTACAATGAGAAACAGTAATGGTTTGTTAAAGGAGTTGACACATTGTCTGACAATAACGATGAGATAAACAGTGACTTTGTGACAGTGAAATTTAATTTGCAGTGAGGTTTAACGTAGCAAACGCTCATTTGACTTCATGTTAAAGGATATTTAAGACCAATGGGGAGTGCACGGACAAAGAACTTCATAATGATAAAATTATGCAAAAATGTTAAAGGTTTACCTTCGAAGACGCCTCTGTGTTGTGGAATTTCATGGGTTTGAGGATTTTACATTTTGTTATTACAAATATGGATATTTGTTGCTAAAACTGATATTTTAGACTAAAGATCTTTAAAGCAGTTTTTTTAAGACAACAATAAAACTTAAATTAAAATATTATAAAGGGATTTAATATTTCTCCTCCTGAAAATGATGTCCTTGCAGTGTGGAGAACAGCGATTAAATGAATAAATAAAATGTCTATTAAGACTCTTTGACGTATAAGATATAAGGACATTTTTATTTATAATGTTCAACAACTAATTTCTTCTTTTGAGCATCCGAATCTGTGTATATTCAGTTAATAATTGATTGATGGAAGACGTGATCGGGCAAGCTCCCTGCACAGGAGGAGTGTTTACTTATACATAGGCTACTGTGCATTTTCTCTTATTTTTGGGGGGACATTGGCTAAAAAAGTGGATAACATTTTGCATTCAAACATCTACTAGATCATGAAATCCTAAAAGAAATTAATATACTATGAATACCTTGAATTGCAGATATTTTCCTGATGCTTTTGATGGCTGTTACCGGGACTGAATCAAATACCGGAGGTAACCATAAGCAAGCACTGCACCGCTCAATCACAAGTACACAGTGGATGTTTTTTACATTTTAATTCAATCTTTTATAAAATAAAAGTGAGTGAACCAGGGGATAAATTATGGGGCTATAGCTTCCACAAAACAGGCTCTACGTAAGCCTAGAATCATAGAAACATTTTATAAAGCATTAAATAGTAAATAAATAAAGGTTGTAGTTGTGTGTTTTAATTGTAAATTCCTACTTCAAATGCTTTAAAGCCTATATTACTTGATATGCGCCTCCTGTTGCTGATGGATTTACACACCTCTTCCAAACAGGAGAAATTTGAGCAGCATAGTGTTTCTACTGCCTTAATTTCAAGGGGAATCTGACAGAAATAATAATTTTACTTGTACTTTGTTCGTGTAGGTGACATCGATGCATCAGTATTAAAGTGAGGTGCAAATGAGCTGAAAAATGAATGAATTAACTTCTCTGTTTCCAAATTATGTTTTGCTCCACAGTGGGTCAGTCAGTCAGTCAGTACCACTTTTTAAATATCCCAATGACATGGAGTGAAGCTCAGAGCTTCTGTAGGGTGAACTACGCTGACCTGGCGACCGTGGACAACATGGAGGAGTACGTGCAGCTGCTGGAGAGCATCGGCAGTGCTGATGTGAGCGGCATCTGGATAGGCCTGGAGAGATCAGCGTCCTATCGGTGGTTGTGGTCTGATGGCACTGGGGAACAAAACGTTTTCGCCTTCATTGAAGACAAACAAGGTGGTGACTGTGTGATGATGAAAAGTAATGGGTACTGGCATAAAATCCAATGTACTGACCTGAAAGCCTCTCTTTGCTTTGAATGTAAGTCACAGCATTGATTGTTTGCATTATTTATGCATCACACAAGACAAAAATAACAAATTACAAAATAACTGCAGAAGAATACAGCCTGTTTATGATAAGTGCGGTATAAAAAAATGTAGAATGTAAACTCTCCTGTTTGCTAAAACAAAGTAATGGTCCATTTATAGCTGTATTAATCAAATGCTTTCTTCCAGATGACAGCCAGGGGACAGAAAGTTACTTCCTGAACACCACACGTTTATCATGGCGAGACGCTCAGAGCTCCTGCAGACATTATCACACCGACCTGGTCAGTGTGAAATCTGTAGAGCAGAATACAGAAATTTATGGTCAATCCAACGACAACTTTATCTGGCTTGGAATGTTCGCCGACAACTGGATGTGGTCTGATGGAAGCCCTACCTCTTTCAGAAACTGGGAGAAGACAAGCCCTGATAATAATGGAAGTGCTGAGAACTGTGTTGTGATCAGAAAGTCCTTCCAGAATCAGTGGGATGACACTGCTTGTGATCTCAGCTATCCTTTTGTCTGTTATGGTGGTGAGTCAATTGAAAATAAATGTAATTGCATCAAGTTCTCACCCGTTATAAGGGACAATCCAAAGGTATTCTGGGAAATGTAGTAAAGCTCTAGCTGGGGTAAACAACATCTAATATAGTTATGTTTATTTAATACACAGATTGACGGATGACTAGCTTTTTTTTTTAATTCTTCTTTTATTGCCCCTTTATTCACCTTTTCTCCCCTCTCTGAAAGGGGCTCATGGTTTAGTCCACTCCTGCTAGGATGAACAAAAACAAATTGTCTCTGCGCCAGTTGCAGAATAAGGTGAACTTCTATCATTTTCAAAATAAGGGTACCAAAAGAGAAAAGAAAGCCAGGAGCGAAAAAGAGAACAATCAGAGGGAAATGAGGTATTCTCTGCATTAGACTGCGTTCTGAAAATAAAACACGATTCCAGTGAAGTCATGTTTGATTATGAAATATAGTAATACAATAATCCTTTGTGAGTGGAGGGAGTTTTGGGTGGGTTTCCACCTTTAAGAGCACAAACATTGTGATGGCAATAATGTTGAATAATGTTACAAAACCTCATGTTAAAACCTTCACACAGTAATAACAGTATGTTAAGAGAAGAGGGCCAAAATATGTTGACATTTCAGATTGTGCAGACTCTCCTAAGTGTGCTATAAACACTTAGTTGTTAGTTACGCCACTGCTGTAACATATCTGATTGTTAACACATGTTTAAAGGAATAGTGCGTCATTTTGGGAAATATACATATTGACTTTACATGAGAGTTAGATAAAAACTGGAAACATGCACCCACAAGCATCCATAAAGCTCACCAATTAACAAGATCTATCTTTGTTTAATCCATGCGGGAACGTTAAGTGTAAAAATGATACATTGTGGATAAACTAAGCTAAGCTACCAGGCCAATCTTCTCACCTAACTCTCAGGCAAAAGACAAAATAAGAATATTTTTCCCAAAAAATGTTGACCCCCGTTGCAGTGTGTAGAATTTAGTGACCATCTTGTGGTGAAGTTACAGCTGTGGGACGAACCTGAAAGCCAGCTCTTTACCCAAGCGTGTAGGAGAAACTATGGTGGCTGCGAAACTCACAAAAAATTTAAAAGGCTCTATCTAGAGAGAGTGGTTTGTCCATTCTGGGCTACTGTAGAAAAACGCTGGACTATGGAAGAGGAATGAAAACATACACATGAATATTATATTCCATTTCTGCTCAAAAGATCCTGAATGTTACACACTGGACCTAAACAAATAGTATGTAATGTACTATAGTGTTTACATGAAATATTTAAATTAATCTTTTTTTTCTTTGAATCTTTGGGAACTGTTTTAGAACAGAAAATCAGGAGAACTACGGTGAAAGTGAGAATTACCTCTGAGGTAAATCTGAATCTTGCCACACTGAGTGATTCACTGGTGAAGCAGGTGAGTAAGGGTCAAATAGAAAATGAGAGAGATTGAAGGACAATAATTCGAAAACTTTAGATTACTCACTTGCTTATCTTGTTGCAGATTCAGGAACAACTGGAAGAGCAGAGTGGGAC